CCAAGGATAGCCGATAGGCATGCCAGCTGCTCATCGTCGATTTGAATATTCGAGTCCGCACTTGATCTGACGTCAGCCGCCAGCTTCGTTACGACCAATGTACCGAAACAAAGTCCCATCACATGGATCACAGGGTCCAATTCAGTCTGAATGCGACGAATGATCTCTGGACTGGCAAGGGTGCGGGGAAAGTAGGACGGCAACGGCTCAGAGGCACCAAACTGATTGAACGCTCTCCCGAAATAACACAGGCACTTTAGACACACCCGCAGACGGCGCTTACGCTCTTCCTCGTTAAGTGGTGAGGCCCCTGGTACGCAAGTCTTGAAGAGGTCGTAGAGGCGGGATCCGAGGATGGCATCGGTCGGCGACTTTTCGGACATGAGGGGAAGGATTGCCGAGGTCGCGTCTGGAACAGTACGGGAGTCGAAGAACCCTGGCACGCCTGCCGCAAATGTTTCGATCTCTTTGTCTTCGTCGAGAGCTGTAAGTGTCCATTCGAGCGCACTTGCGACTACCGTGGATGGGGCGCCTTTGGCATTACGCTCAGTGCTCTTCCGTAGGCCTTCGGAAAGCCACTGTCGATGTACTTTGACTTGATTTTTGAGCGTCTCCCTCCACCTTTCAACACCCGACGCCGTCACGTGCTGGTTGACTCGACTCCATAGCTTCAATAAGGGATTATGAAATAGGCCCTCAATTTCGAGCGCGGCCTTTAAAACAACGACCAAGGAAAACTGGGACAACCGCCATGTGAGTCCGGACAGGGGTGTGGCATAAGGGCAATTGAGGTACAAGTTTGGTAAAATCGTCAACACTGTGTACGCCAAAGCGAACGCCGCAACCCAGCCGAGGGTGAAGTATGAAACTGTCTTGTCGATGGGGAAAAGGAAGTCGACGAGGCCAGCGAAGAAGAGGAAGACAGATATGTGGAGGATCGTCGGCATCGTCGCGACCGCTCGAGCCATTCCGAATTTGCTAATCCCATCGAATACGTAGGCTCTCATACGTGCACGCCTGTGAGGTGCACCATGGTGCTGAGCAAGTTCCTGATACCTTCGGGCCCATTGCTGCATCAATGTCGCGGATAGCGCGCAAGTCAGGCTGAGGACCAAACTGAGGAACCACAGCACGTTGACCCTGACTGCGGAGGTTGTTGGTTTGAATGGCTGATTGCTCTTCGCTACAACGCTCGCGAGAGGTGTCCCATTGGAGATATTGACGAGTTGTACCGATATTTGAGTGAGGAGTGCATTGGTCGTATCGCTAGGATTGGGAGATAACAGCTTGTAACTTTCGATAATGAAGGCGGCGACGGTGGCGGAGAATAGACCGGTCTTCAACGTGTGTCTCAGCTGGTGGATATGCACAAGATAGAGAAGGGCTCACAAATACGAGGATCCCCTCTGTGTCCCCCTTCCAACTCTCAGTTACGTCCTTATCCTGCTTCTCGGCCTCGGTGAGGTACATGGACCACAGTCCATCAGAAGAGTCTCCGTACTTCTCGCCTAGTGCATGAATGAGAATAGTACAAGCTGTGACATGTCGAATGAACGTACCCAGCAGAGGATCTGGATTACCCGCAATTTGCGCTGGAGGTGTGACAGGAGTGTTCCCATGAGGACGGTCATTTGTACTTGTGACCTGAAGCTGAGCATCTGCGGTATCTGGAGGTCGAGGATAAGTGGAACTTGGTGTCCGCAGATCTGTGGTGGTTGTAGTAGGCTCTGCGATAACTGCGGATTGAGGACGTCGAAGATCTGTGGTAGTAGCAGGCTGGCTCCTATGGATCTGAGCCTCAATATCCGCCATTTCTGAGTATCGAAGAATGTAGCGAGGAGAGCCGCGACACAGAGGGGGACACCCGACAGTTATCCTAGGATCGAACGCCCCTCCAACGTTGACCGATTAGGACTAGCGGATTACGTTACTGTATGCACGACTCCAAGCCCGTAGTTTATCCCAACCTGATCTGCGAAAAGCCTCTTCACCAAGCCGATGTCGTTAAATGTATTTCCTATTTATGACATGTCGTCTTAAAGGAGTCTGGAAAGTGTGAACCAAGGTGTGAACAACTTGAAACAGGAGCAGAGTCACGGGCTTGCTAGAGGGAATGGTTAGAATGCAAACGCAAACGTAAATGGGACTGGATCCAAAAAAAAAAACGTAGATAGGATATCATGGACACAGAAGTGAGGTCATAGCGTGCTGGAGGAGGTACAGTGGGTTTTAAAGTCACTTAGTTGGTAGTGCAATGTCAGAGTAGGTCGTGGATTCGAACCATGAGCCAATGCTGCGTCGCCAAGCTGTTGTGCATACACTGGCAGGTCTGACACGCTCCGGATCCATGCCAGAGAAGGTCCGCGCGCCGGTAGTGAACCGGTGAACCGCGCACATGGCCCCATGAGAGCGCAAACACCCGCAATCATAAATTGCTTGACTTGTGCCCCTTCCGGATCTGCGTTACTGCCAGTGTAAATGTGCGCGTACACACAAAGCTCTATTCTAATTACTGTGAAAGAAAGCAATTACACAAAACATCTAGGGTATATATCACAGCCCTGGGACCTCCAACGCGCCCTCGAGTCCCACACGCACACCAATTACCCGCGCCACGCGTCGCTCGATACGCTCCTCAAGTCCGTGCATCGCCGCGTCCCACCAGCGCTCGGGACCTTCCGGCACGGCCCGCCACGCGCCGCGGTACAGCTCGCGCATCCTCTTGCTCCCAAGCTCTACCGCGCGTGCACGCGCAGCGGCACCCTGTTCGTACGTCGCGCCAAATCCCTCGCCCGCGAGCACGAGCGCAGGCGGGACCGTGATTCTCCCATGCTTAAACACCATCACGTTCACGGAGATGCAGTGGAGCGTTGCACCGTCCGGCTCGGGCTCGTGCGCCGCAGCTACGGCGCGCGCGACGTGTGCTTGGAGGTTCGCGCTGGAGGCTGATGGCGTCGGCGCCGAGGAGGAGCTGCTGTCGTCGTCGGTTTTGGAGCCGGGGTTGTTGGTGGTGGATGGCGCGGACCGGCGCGATGCGGGCTTGTGGTGCGAGACGAAGCGGTGGACGATATAGAGCTGCATGAAACAGAAGATGAGCAGGCGTCAGGCGGGCGAGTGAATGAGTGAATCGTACCCATTTGTGGTCCCAGCCGACGATTTGCGAGCGTACCTCGTAGCGCGCAAATATGGGGATCTCACGTAGGAATTGGAAGTGCGTGCCTGCACGAGACGATGTGATCAGCAGAGTAGCCGGGGAACGACTGCAACACGAGACATACCGGCCAGCGCGACCCCGCCCCCGGCGAGTATATACGAAGGAAAGACGTACAAGACGCTGTTCGTACGCGCCAAATCAAGGAGCTATTTTGGTGCATGACGCTCAGCCCTAGCCTTTCACCCGACTCGACCCGCGCAGGAATCGCTTCACTCACCTTCGGGTAAGACGAATTGCTGAGGTGCCAGTTGTAGTCACATTCATCAGGGCCTGCCAAAAAAGAGCAGAGAAATCAGCCAACAAAGAGAAGTAGAAGTGTAACCACTACCAACCCGCCCAGGCTTTAGTCACTAACTTGTGGTCAAGCGGATTCTGGCCGATGGGCACAAGGTCGTCGCGGAACTTGTGCGCGTCGTTTTTGTTGGTGGAAGACGAAAAGAATGTGCGTATGCGCGCACGGCGGGCGAGCCACCACAACCTGGTGATGGGCAAGAACACATTGACTGATAATAATTATAAGCATGCGACACGAAAAACGGATTTTGGAGAACGGAAGAATGGAAGCCACGTACAGTGCCAGACCAATGGCAGGGATCGCACATTCAGAATGAGAAGTAGAAAAGCGAAAGTTTTAGCGAGCCCCGGTAAGACGCTGAGGCCGAGGGAGAGGGCTGCAGCTGGGGACGTGGAGAGCATGACGTGGAGGGTGTTTGGGGCAGGTTATACTGTATGGAACCAGTTGTATTTATTTAATAAGAACCCAATGATAGGACGACGAGCCCATTCCAGCCGCCGACGCGAACTGGCCATCAGAAAAAGAAGAAAACTCTCGAAGTTGATTTTTCAGCTTTCGGCCCACGTATTCCCGAGTCCCGGCTGCTTATGGCATTGTCCCCCAGTGAAGAGGATTGATTGCAAATACTGTACAGCATCAGCATGAGGCCGGATAAATCACGCGAAACTACGTCTTAAACCTGGAGTATCGCCGAGGTGAGACCTCGAATATGAGGCTGTGTGTCTCTTCTATCTCTCGGTGGTCACGGTGCTGTACAGTTCTTTCAGAACCTAACTAGATTTTATTTCCTGTTCCCGCCCATCCGGACACATCAACGAGACACGAACCGGGGATGAGAATGGTCGCTACTGTATCTTCACCGAGTTCTTCTCGTGGGGGCCGCTTAATTTCCAACGAACTGCCGCCTCAAAAGTCCTTCCACACAAAACGGATTTGCTATGGCCGCCCGCCAGAATTGGGGCTCTATCTGCAGCCGACCCACCTACACATGAGACTACACCCCAATAGTCTGCAGACGGATAACAAGACCTAGGTGCGCCCATAATTACTACAATGAATCGACAGTTGACTACTTTTGGCGATAAAGTATAACGTCAAACGCACGAAGTTGAACCGGAGGTCAATGGCACAGCTTTTTGAGACCCTTGCAGTATGCTGTAGATATGTGACCTCCCACGCGCCGCCTCCTCTCCCACTTGTTTTTTCATGCCTGTACGCGCGACAATATTATATCAAGCCTATGCAAACCCTTACTCCACAAGTGCAATACACTACTTTCCGCTTCTGTATTAAAGTGTGGGGTGGTCAACGACAAGTTGGTGATGAAATCGAAGATCCAGGTATTGCGAGCGCAGGAGAAAGTCTACAACGAATATCAGGAAAGAAATACAGTAGGAACACTAATGCAATCCGGCAACTGTAAGGTCTTGCCATTCTGATATACAAAGGTATATTGGAGTCGAGTTATGATTGAGGAGAAAAAATCAAAAATGCATTGGCCGGGAGTCGAACCCGGGGCTAGGCCACTCAACAAGTGGGAAGACCCAATGTTACCGCTACACCACCAATGCTCAGTATACGAGAATATTCAAGCAGTGACTAAAATCTTGCGGCATTAACCGTCCGCTCCAGATCCAAGGGTCCAGGGGCACTGTCCTCTCTTCTCCCTTGTCCTCTCCCTGTTATTCTTTCTCGCTAACACGACAGCATTGAACAAGTATTGTGGAGCGAAGGACTGTCTGCCCCGCGGCTCAAGTTGGGCCTAAGTTAAGCTGTGTCGAGCGTTATTTGCCAGTGGGTGGCCAACTGATTCTCTTCTGCTGCGAACGCACGCTGCCAGTATACTATTATAACGAGGTAAATTTAACATAATCAAAAATGAGTTTATGATCATTATAAACTCAAAGGCCCAGCGAGAGTTAACTGTATAGCTTGATAATAATTTCGGTCACGACCTTTCCCGATTTTGCGACGATATGACCGGGCCCGTACAGTCCGCTAAGGCTGTCTCGTGTGATATCCTAGACGTCTTCATCACTAATTCAAGATACTCAAATCTTGGTTCTCAACGAAGGCCCAGAGGATCTGCGCTCATGTATCTTCTGTTCATCGTCCGACAGCGGCGCTCCAAGTTTCCTTGCGCTTCCTAGATACACCGTAAAATCTCCGAACCCAAGTCCAGGCTTTCCGCATCATGGACCCTATGGGGTCTGGATTTCTTTGTTGCCATCATCTCGGTGAGCTCCCGAACCATGGGCTTCTCCCCACTTTCTGTGCTTCTCATCTTCGCCATCGGACCTCTGAGATGCTTCGCGACCTTCGCGCCACGTTGGGATGACGTACAAGCGAAGCACACATGGAGTTCTATCCCAGAGAACTGGCAGAACCTGGGTCACCCGCCTGCTGGCACTACCGTCGATCTCCACGTTGCACTCAAGGCCCAAAACGAGACGGCCTTGATTGATGCCCTCCATGAGGTCAGCAATCCCGGGAATCCAAAGTGCGTCATTTACACCACTCTTCCGCCCGAGCTGTACACATCTATGTGTACTGCTTCCCCTTCGCAGATACGGCGCACATCTATCCAGGGAGCAGGTCGCCGAACTTGCCGCGCCGGCCCCAGACGTCCTCCAACTCGTCGGCACCTGGCTCAAACATCATGGCGTACCCTCATCGACCATCGCAACTAAGCATGGTGGCAGTTGGTTGACGCTCACCGGCGTCCCCGTATCCCGGGCCAACGAACTCCTGAGCGCATCGTACCAGCTGTACCAGCACATCGGGACGAACGAGACCGTTCTCCGCACGCTCAGTTACGGGCTCCCCACGGCGCTGATCACACACGTGCAAACGGTTGCACCGACCACACACTTCGGTTCTCCACGCACGTCGCGGCAGAAACCGCTCATGCGGCCCGACGGAGCAGCAGGGGTGCAGACGAAGGTACCGGCGGGAGAGCCCAGGACGGTATTGACGGGCCGCGACGAATCGCCGCCTGTCACGCCATCCTTCCTGCGTCGGCTGTACAAGACGTCTAGATATGTGCCCTTTGCCGCGGATCGGAACATGCTTGGCGTTGTGGGCTTTCTCGATCAATACCCGAGCCCGGACGACCTGACGTTATTCATGAATCAATATCGCTCCGACGCGACCTCGGCGACCTTCAAAGTCGTGCCGGTCAGTGGCGGAGGGTACAACCCAAACAATGCAGGCACCGAGCCGAGCCTCAATATTCAGTATACTTCGGCCATAGCATATCCAACTCCGCATATATTCTACAGCACAGGCCTCTTGAATATCTAGGACGATCCGTTCGTGAACTGGCTCGACTACGTGCTCGTCCAGGAGAAAGTCCCGCAGACCATCAGTATCAATTACGGCGCTGAAGAGTACAAAGTTCCACCGGATCATGCGGGGTTTGTATGCAACCTGTTCGCTTGGCTCGGCATGCGTGGCGCTAGTGTCCTCCTCTCGAGCGGCGACGACGGCGTTGGTCTTGGGAGCTGCTTGTTCACCGATGGCTACGGCAACTCGCGTGTCAAGTTCGTCCCCACCTTCCCTTCAACTTGTACGTGTAGTATTTTTTCTCTGCTGCAGGCGCTCATCGCTCACCACACCGTCCATGTGTTTGTAGGTCCCTGGATCACTAGCGTCGGAGCAACGACAGGCTACTATCCTGAGGTTGCGGCAAGTCTTTCCGGTGGCGGTTTCTCGGTGTACTTTCCACGTCCCCCTTATCAGAACCAGGGTGTGCCTGACTTCCTCCGGAACCTTGGCAGCCAGTATAGCGACTTTTACAAGTGCATTCGCTACCGTGACCCAAACTAAACCATTCTCACCTTTCATTTTGCAGCCCCGGGGGATGTGGCGTTCCCGATATTTCCCTGCAGGCGATTAACTACCTTTATGTCCTCAACAAGCAACCCTGGACTATGACCGGCACCAGCTGCTCGACCCCGGTGCGATAGCCCTCCCTCGGAGACCTATTCTCTCCGCATCCCACGTCCTCGAGTGCCTTGCTGACTGCCAACGTAAAGACCGCGGCGGGAATCATTTCCCTGCTGAATGACTACATGATTTCGACCGGCAGGCGCCCACTCGGCTTCCTCAACTTCTGGCTGTACGGCAGGGGTCTCTCGGGCCTGAATGACATCACGTCTGGGTCGAACCCGGGCTGCAAAACTGATGGATTCTCCGCTGTCCCTGGGTGGGATCCTGTGCGTCCTGCCTGAGTTGTGTCTCTACATCTTTCGATGTTGGCTCACGCTGCGTTGATAGGTCACGGGTCTCGGGTCGCTCGACTTTGCAAAACTGGGGGAGTTACTTAGTTATCGGTAGTACGGTAGGCTGATCTGGGCTGAATTCTCTGCCCCGGGGTTCCTGTCGCTGCCGCCGATATATTCTGTACATCTTCTAACTTTTCTTTTAACGCTTCGCTTCCTCGCTTCGGATTCGCATAGGTACATAGGGATGACTCGGATGAGACACAAGAGCACTATATCCTCCCGCTCCCCCCCTCTTTTTTTGAACCATTTATATTGATATTCTGGATTCTCTCCGGTGATTGGTATGGTCGATGGCAGTGTGGTAAACCGCATCCGCTGAGTACAGTACTCAGTCAGCATCAGATATCAGTAAATAACAATCCCGTGCCACTCCCTCTCAGCTCTTCTCCTTTTGTGTCCCCTCAGGCCTCTGGAAACTCTGCTATCCCCTCTCAATATCTTGGATGTCCTCGGAAACCTCCACAACTCTGGAAGCTTCTCGTGTTATAATCATCAGCAAATAAAAATTAACTTTTTATGTGCTTACCGAGATTGGGAGAGTTTACATAAACTATATGAATAGATTTAAACTTATTTATTATTACAACGAAATTATAATTATAATCACCTGTGACTAGGCCACTATCTCAACGAAACGAAACACGGCGGCAGTTGGCTGGCGGTCGTCGGCGTCCCTAATTCCAGAGCCAAAGAACTCCTGAGCGCGTCATACCAACTGTATAAGCACATCGGGATGAACGAGACCGTTCTTCGCACGCCCAGCTATGGGCTCCCCGTGGCACTGCTTGCACATGTACAAAACGTTGCGCTGACCACACGCTTCGGCTTTCCGCGCGCGCGGTGGCAGAAACTGCTCATGCACCCCAGAGGGTAGCAACAGAGCAGACGAAGGTACCGGGAGGAGTGCCCAGGATGGTATTGTCGAGCTGCGACCAATATGTGACGCCGTCATTCCTACGCTCGTTCTACAAGACGTCTAGATACGTGCCCTTTGCTGCGGACCTGAATGTATTTGGCATTGGGGGCTACCTCGGTAATTATCCGAACCCAGACGACCTGACGGAATTCATGAATCATTATCCCTTCGACGCGACCTCGACGACCTACAGCATCATGCATCAAAGGCTAAGGGTACAACCCGAGAAACTCCAAGGCGAATCTCGATATCCAGTGCACTTTAGCCATTATATACCATACACGCATACGAAAATGAACATCTCATCCATGCCTTCACCTTCGTTCTAACGATCTCCGTTTGCGTCTGTCTACCTCTCCGTGTTTCCTATCCACTGCTCTATCACTTCTATCTACGCTCTCCCCCAGGCCGAAGTCTATTACTCGCTACACTATCCGACCATATTCTACAGCACTGGCTCGGAGACTCAGGGCGATCTGTTTATGATTTGGCTTATTACGTGCTCGACTTGAGGAGGGTAAGTATGCCCTACAGCGTTCCTGAGTACAAAGTCCCGCTGGATTGTGCAATATATGTGTGCAATCTGTTCGCGCGACTTGACGTGCGTGGTACCACCGTCCTCTTCTTGGTCCTCCTCTCGAGTGGCAACGATGGTGTTGTTGTGGGAACTGCCTGTTCCAAGGCGGCTCCGGCCAGCAAGCTGCGGGTCTAGTTCCTCCCCACCTTCCCCTCCACTGGTTGTGCGTGTGGCGTTTTAACTCTGCCTTCGAACATTGTAGTATTTGCGCCCCAAAAAAGACCGGCTCGCTGAAACTCACGTGACTGCCTGTTTCTGACAACTCAGAAGCCGACCGCCGGCAGGGCAATTTTGGGAAAGCCGCGGCCCTTGGTGTTGCACAAATTACAAAATTAAGAATGGGTCGTGTCAGGTGCCAGCGTGGTGTGAAGGGCATCGCAAGGCCTCTCAGGGGTCCAATAGTGAAGATATAAAGCACAGAGAGTGGGTGAAAGTGCACGGTTACTGGAGGTCGCTGAGTCGGTACCAACAAATTTACTCAAGAATTTACTTGAGACCGGGGGCCCTTACATAAGTGGCAAGACGCAAAAAGCCTGGACAGACTGCTGGAGCGATGGGCTGGATGAGGCGGCACGTGCTTGATCCTCTTACGTGCTGTCGTCCTCCACCTACTGGCAAGCTCTCGACCGGTTTCAAGGAACGAGAACACTTTTATTTCTCTCGCCCGCCACACCCAGTTACTGTTGAACCCCTCATAAACCATTCCTATTTTTAGGATTTTGTGACCAGCAAACCATACGGACGGGGCCGGATGAGGCCCTCGGTCAAGCCCTCGGTGCATTCTTGATGTCG